TCTGTACGGGCAGCGTACAAGGTCGTCACACTTTTATCTGTCCCAGTCCCAGGCAAACGCACACTCACACACATACACACATTTAAACTCTCACATTAAATCCCCAAAACCCATAGACAGGGCAGCAAAGACTTGAAGGCCATAGACTGAACCACGTCTAGCACGAACTCACATGTGCACGTCTCCTCACAAGCGCTGCGCGTTGGCTGGCATTCTTCTGCGATGGTTAAAGCCGGAGCTCGATCTCTCCAGCATTGGTATCCGTTCGGCGGCTATACGGCTGTTATGACCCCTGTGTGTTGACTCTGACAGTGATGGCGCGGTCCAGTAGCCACCATGCGATGACTTCAATACACGTGGTTTGATAGAAGCAAACAAATCGCGCCAGACATAAAGAGGAGAGAAGAACTAATAACAAAAACAAAGAGGTAGGCAGAGATCGGCGAACAATGTCGCCGCATAACGATGACAAACGAAACAGTGCTTTCCCCTGCCAGCACGTAGGATTATCGGGGACACCAAACAAGCTAACTCTCCTTTTCTGGGGTTGTTGGAGCCAAGGACGAAGGTACTGATTGCTGCTACTGTTGTCGTTGTTCTAATAGAAATAGCAGTCCCAGCGGCGGGGTGAGGCCGTACGCTCGAATGCTGTCGTCGCTGCTGCTGATGCTGCTTTTAACGCGATTGGTGATGATTTCAAGATTAGGCACTTGGTACAAGACTATCGTGCCTGTTGCAATGTCGTAGCGGTGGTGATTTGGATAGCAGATGTTCGCGGTGGCTGTCTATTGTTTGCTATGATTATTGTTATCAGTGATAGATGATAGGAACATTGGGATGGCTAAGAGTGCCTTATAGTTTACTGTGTTCCCTATACTCCAGCGACGAAGTAACTTCTTCCTCCCGCTTTGCCGGCTACGTACATTTCCAGCCCGTTGACATCTGTTGGATATACACAAACGATGGCGAATTACACGGAGTTTTCCATTAGATAGTTTGCTACTTCGGTGCTAATTTAATGTTGCCCCTGGAGGTGACACGTCTATATAACTGTCGTGACGTCTGTTTGCCTTCAAGCGCAGGGACATCTAACAGTGCACCTGTCATCAGTAAAACTGTTATCACTCATTATTATTATTCACTATCAGCAAAGATTAGCCACAACGACATCAGCCGGAGCAGGTCAGCTGTTGCTGTTACGATGAGCCTTCACAAGTAACATTAGCCCAGTAGCACTAACGCCGCTGATGGGGTACAGGACAACACACGTTGTTCGCCGCAAATATACGCACAACAACACATAGACAGATCCACGGTCCAAGCTGGTAATGTTGACGGAAGCGGCCGGGGCGATCGTATGAGCCTCTGACGCCTGGCGTAACTCGGCTCTAGGTTGCGCTGTGCACCACCAATGATTAATACTTCCGCCGCCGCCGCCGCCGCCGCCGCCGCCGCTGTTGCGCAGTCAGTCGACGTACTGCGCTCGTCGAAAAAGACTGGGACACCACGGCACCGAAATGACCGCTACGACCACCAGGGTGTCGATAATGGTGCTGGCAACGGCGCTGCCAACAGCAACATCGACAACTTCCGCGGCATGGAGATAGATAGATATCAAGAGTTAGGAACGACGGCAGCAGCCGTAAGCAGATGCCGATAACTACAATAGCAGTAGCAACAGATGAAGGGCGATTGTACTGTCCCGCTGTTGACGATGAACCAGACCGTAGCTTGTTTGTTCTATGCCCGCGTTCTGTGGGACCGCTGGTGCTGCCGCGGCCAGTGTCTCCGCTCAGTTCGCTGGTCCGTTCGAACGTTGCATTCGTCACTACCACTTGCTTTTGCTGCTGTTATTACTGCAGCTCGAGGGCCCGCGCGTTACTGTTGCTGCTGGCGATTCCTCTGCAGGCTCTCCCGGCCGTAGGCGCACGTCGTGCTACCTCAGTCGTTGTTCTACACAGCACCGCGCTGTGTGCACACAACAGAGACAGTCGTCGTCGTCGTCGTCATCAGCACAACATCGCGGAGTTCCAGGCGGCAGACAACAGCGCAACCGTCACTCTGTCAGCCGGCGGCCAGTAATAGTCACTGGTGAGCCAGCGGGTACCTGGCGGTGAGTGGAGTGGAAAAAAGGGTGAGCGTGCAGCCAGCACGGCTGGCGACTGCAGGCGACACAAGACCAATACAAAATAGGGGCAGCAGCAGCAGCAGCAGCAGCAGCGGCAACACGGTGGCTGCAATGGCTGCTGCTGCTGCTGCTGTGGCGACGACGCCTTGCGCGCCAGAGAGACACACAGACGGACGGCCGGCCGGCCAAACAGACGATGAGCGACAGAGCTCGGTACGACTAACGTGCTAGACACAATGTTACGGTGAGTGTCCAGTCGCTGATCGCTACTATTCGTCGTAATGATGATGCAGCAGTACCGAGTAGATTCTTCGGATGCTCTTTTTTGTTGTTATTGGCACCCTGCCTATGCCCTTCCCCTGAGCAGCAATCAGTTTAACCACTAAGAAAGACGATAAAATGGTGTCTGTCAACGCCCAGAGAGTCCAGGCGATTGGTCGGTATTGTTGCTCGGGGAAAGTGACAATAACGATGATGACGACGACAATCGAACGTCGAATCGGCTTTCCACAGAAACTCCACCGCCGCTGCCGCTGCCGCACGAGTTTCACCGTTCGTTTGCGCTGCTGCTATTCTAATTAACGTACCGTACAGCAGCAGCAGCAGCAGCAGCAGCAAACGGCGGGCCGCGCTCGGAGACACAGCATCACACCATTACCAGAATGGGCTGGCCTCGTCCGACTCAGCTGAATCGTTCCGCTCTACCTGAGTGGGATCTACTCCAAGCATCCCAACAGTGGCAGACCGTACAACGGTGGTCGATCTACCGATAGTCAAATGGATGCTGAACAACAATTCAATCAGTTCACCGTCGGTCGACCGACCGACCGACCGACCGACCGATTACGAGGATTATCGAATAATCACTGTTTTCTGCGGCGTTTATCGCCGTTCACTTCTTGCCCTTTTTTAAGGACAGAGAGTGCGCATAACGATGCACTTCTAATGCTGCTGCTCTACCAAATAACTCGACCGCTTCTGCATAAACCATTGTACGGATTTCATCGTGATGGCCAATTATGTTTTCGACATGCGCACACCAACTTCTCACCAGCATAACTGTTAATCGCTCAGCTATTGCGTGGCCTATATTACAATAGCAGGTTTACAAGTGTCGTCGTTCTGTAGCGCTTAGTAACATTGAGGCTCGATAGAGTGGGATCATTAGTTGCTGAGGCGTCAAGCAGTAACCGCAAACCTCTTCCAAACTATGAAGGTTTCAGATGATGCACCACTTGTTCGCACGTCACTTTCTGCCCGTTCTGTGTTCTTTCCACTTTTTTTTTTGTGTACGTGCTTCCCTTTCTTGTCTTTTCCTCTTTTCAGGAATGTATTTGTTCCAATAAAGGCTTCCACAACCTTCAGAACATCACAGCAACAATGACGATCTCGGCGGCCGCAAACTGTCGCCGCGAAGCGATTGGAATAGGTCAAGGAAGCGTCTGACTTAAGACACACATGCACACACACACACACAAACACCCACACACAGACACATGCATATACACAGCCGACCAGGGGGATGCAGGGAGTCGGTCGAGCAGTAGAATCACCTGATACGTGACCGCAAATCACTTTTTCTAATCGCAACAAACATTGCTCACAGGGCGACCCCCGACAAAATTAAGAGCCTTGAAAATATATCGCTGGCTTAGAGTAAACGCGTGCACTTCCGGCGCTCTGTTCCACCGATACATGTATGATCCGCCTATGCTGTTTCTTCTTAGAGACGCCGTCACCTGTGAGTCCAATTGAACGAGTGAGCTCCACAATGTTTCCTGTTTCCCTAATAGCCGAGTGCAAACACTGCATCGTTTTTCACTTTCTGCCTCATTGGGAATCGGCGTCAGCGCCGCTTCCGAAGTAGATTACGCTATCTGCGGCTGTCGTCATTGACGCCTCCGGTGGCACGTACACCCTGACTGCTCGTAACAACGATAAACAAATGAACGAACGGACGGACAGATGTTGCCAGCCAATGCCTCCGAGTCTCGTTTTTGTCTCTTCAGCTAGCGGACCTATTTCGGCGAACAGCAACGACCCCTCAGTTGCAACGTCGCACACATCTTGCCGGCAAACGACGCCGTGCTTCTGAAGAAACGTTAGGGAGCTCCCACTACAGGACGGGTCTCGAGGTCAAACACCAAAACCTTCTTTAAGGTAATTCAAACGAATAACGATCAATCGGCTAGATTTTTTATCTTGACAAACTGTCTGTTTGTTTTGTTCTGTCTTGTTCGGTTGCCTGTGTATCTTCACGTATATTGCTGTATCCCTTCGATAATAGCTAACTAACAACAATCTCGCTAGCCTGGAATGCAGCTGCTGCGGGGGCTCGACACCATGGCTACGCGTTGAGGGGTCGCTCGGGGGACGACGTCGACCAAGCAACAATAACAAAAACGCATGCTGTGCGACTTATTGCGATTGCTCCTGATCAGGGCAAACAACAACATTTGCGCGGTCAGGTTGACGCCCATGATCGCCAGTAAAAGCAGGACGCGGACCTAGTTGCAGAGAGTGGCTGGTTCGTGCAATGGGCAGCAGTAGCCAGTGCTGCCACAGAATTTTGCCCTGCTAACGACTGAGAGGTTTGTTGCTAAATGATGGAATTACTGATTCGGACGAGGCGAGAAGAGGCGATTGTCGATGCGAGGACCCTATCCAACCAGGCTATCAATGATGGCTTGCGTGTTATCTTCGGTAGTTGGTTACAAAGCACAACACGATCTAGAAAGTTAACAGGCCACTGAACTGATTTGGCCTACTGTTTAATCGCTCTTTTCAGCTCCTTTTTTCAGTGTACTTTCGCTACTGCAGCTGTCGCTAGTTGACGTATAGCTTCGCACAGTTCGATGCTTAACCAGAGACACTGGCCTCGAAAAAATCTCAACTCATTTAGAAGCGTGTTCACCTATAACTTGCGTGTTTCGGGACCCATTCACGTAAGTAGCTCACACAGTTGATGGTTCCACCCGTGGCTGCGTAGTTAACTCATCACCGTCATCGAGAATACTCTGCGTTCGTTGCAGGCGTTTTTTTCACTTTCTCACACGACGCTTTGTCCTTCCCTACTCTTAAACTTGCTTGCTCGTTCAGTTCCAATCAGTTAAGCCAGTAAACCACCTACCACTATCTGCCCGATTGTATTCTTGATAATATTGACGAGATATCGCCCAATCCGTAGACGACCGGTGCTCTTCGTACGTGAAGACGGTATTTGGCGGCTGTCTTCAATGATAGTGGCCCTCCTGTTCCGGTCTCAGCGGTTGCTGTTGTTGACACTGCTGTTTGCTAGCGGCCACAAAACGACCAGCGAGACAACTTGGCTCCTTTTCTTCCTCGATACGCCGTTGATCTCCTACAGCTTCGTTCGGCCAGATCATTCGAGGACGTTGCGTTAAATAATGGCCGGCTTTTCGTGCTTAGTACGTCATCCTATCCGCTTGACTCTATTCGGTTTGATGGTCGGATCTGCCGCAATGGTCGCCGTGGGATCGCTGGTATGACGGCAGTGGAACGAGTTGGAAGTCGCTTTCGAGGCGGAATCGCCGTGGTGTATAGCAGTAGCTGGACGAAAGGAGCGTTCGTAGTACTACTGTTTGTGATAAGTGTGGAACTAGTAAAAGTAGCGTTAGGTTGACTAGTAGCAGACCCCTCTATCTTGCTTGCGCTGTCGTCTCTCCAACGAGTGCGCGTGCGTGCCTGTCTGGCTGCCTGCGTGTGTCTGTCTGTCTGTTTGCTCGAACTATTGGCTCGAACCAAGTCGTTGCTACTACAGCTGCTGGGAACGATGATCCCAGAACGTGCTCTCGGTCAGTCGCTCGCTTTCTGCCTAGCGCGACTGATGCCGCTGTTGCTGGCAGCCGAAGAGGCGGCGGCGGCCCTCACCACAAACCAGAGGGAGCTGCTATCACGCGTGCGCTTTCAAAGAGGTAGATAGGCAGGCTGCGCGCGCAATCAAACACAGACTAGTCCAGCAGCAGCAGCAGCAGCAGCAGCAGCAGCAGCAGCGCGACATAGTTAGACTTCGATAACGGAAAGCGAATAGTCATAGAGGTGGCTGTACGTACTCAAGCTGACACAAAAGGATAGGGACCAGAACGGGGTAGATAGCGATACGGGCAACGAACGATGAGTCCACGGGGAGCGAGTGTATAGACCAGGACCATCGTAACAAATGAGCCGAGCTCTGAGCACCGAGCATCACCGAGAGTCGAACACCGCTGCTAAAAGTTGATGGCAGGATGGTCACTCGATAGGTTGGTCCGTCCGTCCGTTGAAGATGACAACCTCATATTCACGCAAAGCTCACACTGACCTTGTCTATAGCGAGCCGCCGACATCCAACGCGTTTATGCATATATATATATACAAAAAGGCCAGCCACTCTTATTTACCTGGAAGTCGTAATGAATCCAACTATCGCTCCGAGTGAAAACAAAAACCAACCCGACTATCTACTGTCTCCAACTACACGAAGTGAACCGCTAGCACAAGCAAATGCAATTCATATCAGGTACGTACCTAACAAAGCAGCTTGTTCTAAGATACGGTGTTCGGTTTGACCCCAGATCCTGACAACGTTCAGAGAATAAGTGCTCGTAGACAGTGTTGCAATCAATGCAATCCTATAACTTTAGCCCGCTGTAAATTGTATTCATTTCTACCAGCTCAGTCCTTCAAATAAGCAGTACCTGTACGTTTTGCATATTTATAACCCTTTTTATGTATCAACTTCTCTGTTGTACATTCAGTACTCTTTCTTTGCTGCTTTATTCATTAAAACGTTGTGCTGAATTGGTCTGGCACAAATCGAACCCCATAGAATTGATAGGATCTCTGAAGCCAAACAAATCGTGGAAATATATGATAAACCCACGACTGATTGAAACAGAGGAAGACTTTCAGCGTGTCCTATAGCTAGTTTCATCTCACATATAATAGGAAATACTTTTTAAAATATAGAGCGTTTCGAGCTCCACGTTTAGTACTGCGGTCAGATACTGTTTCAGACAGCTGACCCCTCTTAGTACGAAATGAGATAAAGTCACTTCTATTTTGTGTTTAGGATTTAACTAGCTTAACATGAAAGTTCCTAGGTTAACCAATAATCCGTAAGTTGAGCAGGCTACCTCTGCGCCATCACGAGGATTCAGTCGATGCTCCTGGCGTGAACTAGCGTATCCTTAGATGCTGTGTGATGTTGTTTCTCGAAACAGATGTCCGTACATCTAATCAACGCGACATTTCTACGAATTTCATAAAATCTAATAATTTTCGCCGTTAATGTTCTTTCTGCCCCTATGGCGCCTCCTGTTACTTGTGCTTTCTGTACAATCGGCGTTGAACTTATTTGCGCTTCCGCTTAATTTTTCCCTTTGTTCATTCTTTAGCGATTCGCTCCTTAATCCAAAGAATCTTTAGATATATATATATATATATATATATATATATATAATAAAAAAATGAAAAAAGTACTATTGGAATCGTTGCCATAGTCAGATGGCTTGTCATTTGTCGTGGACCTTTTCAGAACAGCTGGATTTTTCATTGATTGTTATCGGCCACTCTTTGTGCACGTTTGGCGTTCTTTCATCTCTCGTACTTCAAGGCTAGCTCTGCATCAAGCGGCGCAAAGGGTTAAAGGAACGTTGCTCCGGGGCCTTAATATGCAGCAACGGCGATTAGCATCAACGACGTCTGTAATAGCTGCGTCCTATTGGCAGCGGCAGCTGCAGCCGTGGTAATATTCATAATAAACTATTAGCCTATCTATCTATGCAAATCAAAAATCGTTCATGGTAAAAGTAGGGTCGCCCGACTCGCCTGTCTGAGACGGCGTCAGAACGAGACGTCACGGTACCGGGGGAGTCAGTGCCAATCTGCATAAGCCGGATAACGAGAGGCAGTATTTGTCTGCCGATATAGAACTGGATAGCGCCAGAGGCGATGTAAACTGGAAATGCTGAATTACCGTTGACTGCAAGTTATCCTCATTTTATAAACAGGACACACATCTGTCGATATTTCTGGACAACAGACTGGCGCCGTATCGGCGTCTTTAACATGGCTGTTATTTAAGCAATATACCAAAGATGAATTCGGTATAATTATGTCATTATGATATTAATTATAGTGATATTTTTATATTACAGATTTTCACCTGTAAGGTTATCCTCTGTGTAGATTTAGAACGCTGAGAGCTGGCCCGGCCTTCAGGTGAACGCTTTTAGTTGTTTATTTCGTGCGATAGACACTGTGCTACACCAGTAACATTATAGTGGTTCATAATAGAGTAGACAGTGAAGACGTTGAGAACAGCATTGCGACTTTTGACAGTTGTAATGTTTGAAGCAACGGTTGACTGATTTGGTTAATTTTTAAGCAAACAAATAGCCAATCCTAGATAGCGATGCTAAATAAAGCAAAGTGCTTTTAGTGTTGGCACACAGCTAACAAAAAATGGCCGTATTATCAGCTGAGCATGCGTGCTGCTTACGTTTTTCTTGAGTACACCATAAAACTTTTTCATAGCTGACTCTCAACTATATCTTTTACGACCCTGCCTTGGAACTGCTGTTCTAACATTATTTCAAAGATTTATCGGAGTAGGGGACTCAATGTGAGTAGCCTGCGGGAACTGAGCAGGAAAAGCAATTATGACTATAGCCATTGCCTTTGTTGCTGCTGTTTGGGTTTCTACTGAAAGATCAAAATACATTTGTGCCTAGATCTGAACCTAGACTACCTCTGTGTCCATCCGGTTATTAACCACTTGAGGAAGATCGGATGTCAAGAGCAGTTGGCGCCAAGAGCAGGTCGCGTCAAAGAAAATATCAGTGTCAACGCAGGTCCAGGCTAAAAATGTCGGGAACAGCGGTACCAGTGGCAACTGTATCACTGTGGGTCGCAGCAGCATGGCGCCCGTGACCAACATCGTGAGCAGCACTATTTGGGCCAACGACCATAAAGGAGCACCTGTTATTAACTGCTAGCAGAGCCGTGGTGCCTTAAGGCCATCGGACCCTAGCCCACGTAAAGAACGATTACCTCTACTGAAGCTGCTACTGCTCTTGGAAATAGCAGGGTAGAGCAATGCTAATTAAGTATGCGAAGTAAGGATGTAAAGGTCGCTGACGAAACGCTTCGTCGCGTCAAAACTTCTTATATAAGAGAAATGTCATTAGGGTGGCACAGGATGACAGGGCAATCGATATTGTTATACGATAATAGAAAGTAGGCCTAAACGCTGGCCGGGCATATCTGCCGATAGATTGTTTAATCACATGATCACTGTACATTTCAGTAATGCAACCTAGTCTCAGGATATCAATATCTGTGCGAGTTTTTTCTTCCAGCATCAACAACGATTCCCATTCTGCGCTCGCACACTCACGCGTCTACAAAATCAGTAGGCTAAATTAGCTGTGAACCGATATGAAGCCACACGCGAAATTCTTGCCCGAATTACTTGCAATAATAATGGTAATCATAATTACTGTCGAAAGTACTTTTGTTTCACTTCAACCAAAGCTGGAACGCGAGCCTACCTTATACAAGGGCTCTCCGGTTAGTCACTAAAATAGCCCAAGCTATGCGCTATCAAGAACAGTACGGCTAGGTAAATGGACGCACGACTAGCATCGTTTTCGGCGTTAAACTCAAAATGCAGTATTTGTAAATAGCACATTCTTGTATTGTGCACCGGTACATTTGTTTGTGCCATTGAAAATGTACTTAATTCCCGAGAAGGTATAAAAGGTGGATAGGTTTAGCTTTCTATTGAGTTTAACCGCCATATCATTAAGGAGCTGGACCAACTAAACGGCGTACCTAATATGCTAAAACACTTTTTCTTTTAAGCAAAAACTAACTTTTTTATGATGATTATGATTTTGCCGTGCAGCTTTTGAAAAATTCGTTTTTTGAGGCCGAAAATAGTAGCCTACTATAGCCCGCCGTGGCGGCATTAACCAAAGCAAATCCTTGTCTGGCTAACGCCGACTGCATATGAACGCTAGTTTTAATAAAGTTGACTTTGAAATTATTATTGAATTAAAATATGGCTCCTGAGAGACGATGCTTGGGACTATCTGGCCGCGGAACAATTTCGTGTATCAAAAGCTACAAATATAATCCATTCTCCAAATAAAGAAAAGTTGCATTAAAGATTAAGTGGGTTGTATCTTTCTAGGAAAGTAGTTAGTATTGTCTTTAAGGGTCCTCTATATTAGCCCCTCCTGGTCCTAATATTTGAGCTATTTATATGAAATGTGCTGATTGACCATGGCTCAATATTATAGAGTTTCTCGTTGGAAGTAGAAACTTTTGGCCTTAACGTATTCTTGAAAATGCTTATAGGCCTCCTTGATGTATACCAATAAAGTAAGCACTGCCCTACTGATAGTAAATACTAGCGAAGATGCTTTCCCAAAAAAATACATAAATGTACTAAATATTTTTGGAAAAACTGAAGATTCACTGAATTTTTGACACAGGAACTGTCGTTCAGGGCCAGAATGAGAGAGCCTCATTGTTACATGCGTCCTTTCAAGCACATTCATCACACTACACGATATGCTTATTATATTTTGACTATACTTAGAATTAGTGAGACATTTTAACCTACACAGAAAAAGGCTGCCTTTTCTTTACAATATATTTACATAGCTACCTTATATTATTTTAAAATATTTACCGTTGAATCGCTCTAGACGGATATAAAAAAGGAATAATTGACTTATGCATTTTTTTTATGTATATATACATAAAAGTATGATGCGTTATAGGCACTATTGATCACAACAAAGGTAGTGGTAACTGGAATTGAGGTAGAAAAAATGAATGGTCAAATGATCGGTTCTGTATTGCATAGTCCCTTTACATTATATCTATCTATCTAGCTAGCTAGCTAGCTATCTACTAATATGTAGTCTACCACTTAAAAAATAAATCTAGCTCAGTTGCTAGTACTAACCTGAATGGCTATGTGCGAATTTCTGAAACGATCCCAAAAAGAAAAGAGTTAGAAAAACTCTAATTGTACGTCAATCAAAACGTATGCAAACATATATAATAGATGTTTTTCAGTCGAATTTCACGACACAATTTACAGGTAATTATAAACATAAAGCACATTATGAAGTGCTTAAGGCCAAACAGCAGAACTGTGAGTAGCAGTAAATTTGCTATGATGTCCTGAAGTTTTCCTTATGTCGTTATTTTGCATGAGCCGAGTGTTACAAGCGCCTGTTTTGTTGAGAAGGGCCTCATTCTTCTAAGCTGAATGTGATGACACGTGACTTCCATGCTCGAACATTTTCAAAGAAGTACACAGACACAGAGAGGAACTTTGAGAGTTAGTTGCGTTTGACTTGACCTATATCAAAAGTACAAGGTTTTATGAAGAACTTACTATGTTATTTAAATTTCTTATACAGTTATGATTGGTGTTAGCCGAACATATAATGCTGATCAAGAGAAAAATAGTAGTGTTTCACCTCTATTAAAAATCGCAGCGTTCTGCTCGAGTAACGGTAAGAAATTTATTCGTGATTTGTTTATTCCGCTTTTCCAGCCCGTTTTTGAGGCGCTCTTCTTTCTAAAGTGTATTATTACGAACTAATTTTCCAGCAATTAGAAAAGACGATAGTAGAATAGCTTTGCGCAGGATGTCTTCATTAGCGATTTTTGTTATGTGTGATCTAACAGTATCAAGGGAAAAGGTGACCTCCTCATCATCTTTGTTGAACCCCTTTGTTGAATAGCCTCGAACTAAATGAACTTAAATCACATATGGATGCTCGTCGACTATTTTGTTTTATCCAGACCTTTTTTGTCATATTAGAAATATTCATTCTTCAGTTCCGTAAAGACACCACTTGTCATTACTCAATAGAAAGCAGTATTTCCTTGTGCTCTTCATTCGGTCTGAGACACCCAAAAGCCTTAATTTTGGATAAGATCTTACATTATAGGCCAATCAACGGCCATCCATATAGCTATCCATAATCCTTTTCTTTTTTTTTTTTTTTTAGATTAGCGACCCACCTTCGAGCACTGCATTGCGAGCGAGCATTGCACTCGTTTATAACGCGGCAAAAGTGCCATGTGCTACTTCGGCAGATCTCTAACCAGGACCAAAGGCGAAAGAATAGAGACGTTTTTTTCGCCAGGACGTGCGAGCCAAATCTAAGTGCGAGCCAAAGTTAAATATGCCACGTGATGGCTTACAGAGAAGAAATAGTTTTCAAATTGTTTTAACAACTAAGCAAAGGAAGAACACAACGAGAAAACATTAAAAAAAAGTCAGACTCTACTTTTTCGTGAATCTAACGTATTGCTGCGCTCCTTTGAACGATTATTTAAAATTGGATTTACGGTATTCTCACCAGGCATACCTGTATTATCTTGTGCAAGTTTCAAATCAATATTTTTTTGTAATGTACGTAAGGCAGAATATCTTGCGAGTGAGATTAGCGTTATAAATCTAGACTGTGCTAACAGAAGTTTACCTATGGTACTTGCTATACTCGATAAACAACCGGCGTCAGCGTAGATCGACAACTAGTGATGATACAAAATCGACCACATATATAATAAAGAGAGATATCTCAAGTTTGCTCGATTTATTAATAAAAACTACTACAGATATAGAGAAGATCACAATTTCTATAAAGGTAAAGTATGCTGATTAGCGTTCACTGATTTCGATGTGGTGCTGAAGAGTAACTAAACGTTATACTGCATTATGCTGGAATAATTTCTTAAATACGTTTTCTGCATATATACATTTACTGCATATATTTTTTCGTTTCGTTTTGTGAGTACTTCCAGTGAATCGTATTGATCATGTATGGCAGGTCGTACAGGCAACATATCTGTGGAACACCCTGTCGCAGCTAGCATTATACGTCATGGCTGTCGTGCAGGTTTATAAGGATGTGTAACTGATATATGGAATCAGACTGATCCTACAGGTGCTTGCAGTATCTCATAGTTCATATCATTTTTCAGACAATATCGATTTTGTGACAGTTATAAAACTAAGAAAAAAAAAACAAACGCATGATCCTTCGAGGCTCGCAATATTCTACTAAAGGGATGCCATTGTCACATGTTGATGGCAAACATAAGTGCGGTTAAATGAGAAAAGCCGAGTGGTTATCTTTCTCCTTGCTTACTAGAGGCTAAAGCATGCTTCATAGCTTATGTTGTGTTTAGTGAAAAAAAAATACGACGTCCTCAATATGTGTCCAAGCGTTACGACCCGCTAGTAATATAATGAACATAACGATGCCTCGCCCAGGAACGCTATTTCAATATCTTTAATGTACGCCGGCTTTAATGTAGGTCTAAGGGGTGCAGTTCTTATCAATGTCGAGACACTCTCACTGAAGAAGCGATTTCGAGTGTTTACGATAAAACTCGCATAGGTCTATTTTTGCACGCCAGGTTGAACCCTTGCAGTGTTCGTTTGTTTTAGCATGAACCGACTCGAACCATAAAAAAGGAAACTTTTCACTGGTACATGGGGGATTTTACGAGGTGTGGGAGCCCGGCACCAAGAACTCTATAGTATTACATCTAAATTGATACAGATTCGGCACTATTTGTGCCAACCGGAGATGCTGTTGCAAGTCACATGTGCATACTCTCTGGATTTTCGTAATCTTTGGGAATATAGCACGTATTAAGCTATCAGGTAAACCCTTGTCGGTTTTCTCCGTTGTCTCTCGTTGCCAATATTTTGTCTAGTGATGGTCAGATATTGTATATTGCTGAAAAGCTTCTTCTAGAATAGACCAACTTGTTATCATCGTTTCGTTTGAACTGCGATGTTTCTTCCAATAAGTCGACTAAAACAAAGTAGAATAGATTTTATGAACTAGCAAAATTAGTAGAAAAACAAAAACGTTCGTCGAATAGATTTCGATTGGTGATCTCATGTTATCACGGCTTCTTGCACAAAATATGGTTTTTATTCTATGAATGCCAAAGTGTTGTATTTTGAAAAAGCTCGAGCTCGAAACAAAATCTACGACCCAAACGAGATGACGGCAAAGGGTTTATGAAACAAAAAAACAAGTTTCCGGTCATATATCTGACCGGAAAGGAAGAATGAAAAACACAAATGATGAAAACCTGTGCACTGACCAATTTCTCATTGTATTTTCGTCGAACACAACAAGAGACTGTTGACATTATTTCAATCGGTAAATCAAAACCAAGACGGCATTCATACGTCCCTAAATAATGATGACGACGACTCTGCTGTCGTAAACATTCCGGTCTAAGAACGTTTAAAATTAGAACGACTAAAAAAAAAAATTAGAACGAGAAGAGTTCTCACAGAAGTGTCGTCAGCACAAGATGCAACCAGCGTGACTATGTTTTTCGGTTCTGCAACGGACTTATATAATCGTCTATAATAGCTCTTACTGATTTACCAGTGATACCTTTACCCGTTTCGTGCTGAATAGGAGCTGAGTGCGGCGATGAACATGTGGTTTCACTATGGAACACTGGATAGACTAAGTCGGCTATAAGCACAATATTGCTTTATGATTTACAACAGAAGCAAAGTGGAATATAGTGCCATCTGAAACGTTCGTTTTCAAACACGAATTAGACTAGACTAGACTTACTAGGTGACCTCATGGAGATGATGCAGGATCCTTTCTAAAACAAGCCTATTTTCGATAGGTCCGGAGTTTCTAAAAAATTCAATGGCGATAGTATCATAATCATGCGTCGATTATGGTTGATAGTCAGTAAATGACTACGATAATAAATGACACGTACGTTCGTAAAGCACCGGTTAGGGATTTTTAAAGGATGTGCTATTTTGATACCTTCATTATTTCAGCTGTTGTTTCAATTCACCCCGATAAATTACTTGAACAGGCACACAGGTGAATGGAGGCTTGTTAACTGCAATAAGGGTCTAGCCCTTCATAAAATACAAGATTTGGTCAAAATATAACCTCCGACATTCGTAATGTGGCATTGTTTTCAATCGCAGTAACAATTAGAGGCGTCTAGATGCACAAAAAAAAAACTAGCGCCATCTACGATACGAGCCCTGCTCTAAAATAGTCGTAATCATTACCGTCGTTACGACTCCGGTGTAGTCCTTCGTGAAGCTGTCACGCTGGAAAATATCGTTCATCCTACGAAAATGCTAGGTCGCAAAGTTAGCGTATTTCAGTTAAGACGATTATTAGAAGCTAGCCGTAGACTCCTATTTGCTTCTTGAGACATATAATGCTCAGCGATTATGTTACAACATCATCCATCGACGCGCAGAGTTCTATCAGGTATTCGTGTTGAATTTTTAGAGATAACACATCATCAGCTGAATGCTGCTGAGGTCACCCTAGAAATTAATTGACCTATACCTGTCTAGGTCCATTTCAAGCTGCAACGGTCCTACGTGTCTTGGAAATACTGGTGCAAATAGAAATGATCTTCGAGTCTTTCTTATGCCTGGATGAAGGTAACTTTTCAACGTGCTATAGATGCTGATATTAGGCATACTATATTTCGCTCTGTTTTTTTAAATGGCGAACATGCAGCGCACGTTTTTGAAAGCTTTTTTTTCAATTTCCGGTCAATATTTGCACCGGTTTTTGCTCACTTTTGGCTGTCTCATTTGCCGAAATATGCTGCTCTTCTAGCATACAAAAAGTACTTGTGGGATTATACGTTTGAGGTCATGGTCGGCTGACGATATTCTCTAACGATGCGTAATTAAGGAAAATGTATTTGACAATTGATTACTGGTTCATACGTTCCTCGCGTTTGCAGTTACTGTGTTACTGTATCCTGGCGAGAGCTCCTTTGAAACCACTGTTCGTACTGGATTTTTCGCTTGTACATTAATAAATACGAAAAACTTCTTTACCTTAAAGACAAGTCGGTGACTGTCAGCACAGACTTAAATCGCAGGCCTTTACTACGGCCTTTACTATCCAGTGCCGTGCAAACCACGTCGACAATCGTAATAGGGATAGTCCCAGAGATAATCGATAGTCTTGAAAACTCAGTAGAAATGTCATGTTTTACAAGCAGAGCGGACCGTCTCTCCTTTAACCTTCCTGATTCATGCGGATAGCCATCTGCATCATTGCGTTGTACCTTTCGTATCAAGTCCGCCAGACATGATTGCCTATTTTCAGGTTGACCATCACCGACATATCTGAGGAAGTATAGTTTTGACGTTTGTTCAATACAATACATTTTCGAGAATTCGCTCGTGGAACTACTCAGTTTTGGTTGATTTTCTCTAGATGAAGCTGTTCTTAAGATTCTAAATAACTTCAATTGCTTAACACCAACAGGGCTTAATAAGAACCAAGATGTAAGGTGGGCCGCATAGAGATTGACAGACTACGAGTAAAGTAGATAGGTCTGCATGTATCGAGAGTGAAATAGTATCACGGCTAATAGCTACATGGCCTAGGGGACAGTCGAAGGCCAACACCGTATTATTCAGTCGCATTGTTCGACATCACGACAAGCTATAGTAGCTAGAATCAAAGTACAACCGCATTGTTCTCTTATTTTTTTCTTCACCAAGAAAGTCAACCTTCCTCCGCATGGTGACTATTGATTTGTTAAGTCCCCTTCCTGGTTGTATTTACCATAAAAAAACAGATTCATCGTAACTACACAAGATTATCATTACAATACCCCGAACCATTCATCGGTGCAAGTTACACTTTTGAAGTATATGAATGTTTGCACACTGCAGCACAGCGATATGTCGTGCCATATTTGGCTACGATAGGCGTTATTGTCTTGTGTGAAGTCTTCCATTCGACTACGTTATGACAGCTGGAGAATCGACCCGTTGTCATGGACACATTGTGCCTTTTGAGAAATCTTCACTATAACACGCCAGATGGGTCTTCTCGTACAAATCTATTTTTGCATCTTGTTTTGTGTATATAATTGACGGTTATATATGACAGAGGGCAGTAGCAACTGAATAAAGCAGCCATCGTAGCACCATGTAAGCCATGTTATAATACTCGGTATCAACTGCCTTAAACAAGTATATGAGAAAGTTACGCTATAGGGTGCTACAAATCACAGATATATTGGTCATCAATCCCTTTGAATGATAGTATAGGTACGCATCAACGCTTAAGACCTATCGAGACCTATTGTAAAATATAGCGCGACGTCGCTAAGTGGCTGTAGGCGTTTCGTCCGCGAGTATATTAAAATGGGCTCAGATTAGAACACCGCTGTCCCGTTCGACAGGTGGCAGTCGTTTTACCACAAGCCGTGGTGGTGATGGTGGTGGTGGTGGTGGTGGTGGTGGTGGTGGTGGTGGTGGTGGTGGTGGTGGTGGTGGTGGTGGTGGTGATGATGGATAGGTGGGAAATCGCAACTCTCCAGGCTACGGCGAGCATTTCGGCGGCCGCTAATGAGGTTTACAACGGCAACACCGACTCTAAGTAGGATTCAGGACTTCAACCCAAAGAATGAGTCAGCGGCC